GGGGGGGGGGGGGGGGGGGGGGGGGATTTACAGGAGAATGGAGAAGGGAGAATGGGATGATGAAATGGAATTAGCGAAGCAGGATGAAAATAGGAAGGGAGCTGAAAGAGAAGACGCGTCCGAAGAAGAAGACGAGAGAGAGGTACAGAATGACGGGACAGACGGCTTACCCTTTCTCCCTCTTTTTCACCATTCTCCGATCAACATCCAAAACCCCCTCCACCTTTTAACTATTTTCGTGCCCAACCGATTTATTATTATTATTATTATTATTTATTTATATTCTTTTTTTTTTCCCTTAAATTATATGATCAGCCCTAATTTTTTATTTTTATTTATTAATCTCCAAATTTAATATTTACTACGCTCATAAATGTTTTTTAATTTTACTTCGATTTCACAATTTTTATAATTAATTAATTTAACAAAAAATACTTTATAATAATAAAAAATTTTAAGTCAAATTGTTATAAAATAAAATACGAAAAACAACAAATTAAATAAATGTAATTAATGGTTACTTTTCATATACAATTCCATTTTTTTTTCTTTATTAAAAGAAAAAAAGAAACATTGCTAAATGAAAAGAGGTTTAATGGAGGTAATGGATAAGTGTTCGAATGATTTGACTGGTCAAAATATGCTACCAATCTCGAGGCATCTTTTAATTTATTAAAAATAATGGAATCATATTCTTATTATTTAGACGAATACGACTCTCCACAGACCTAAGGGCACAACTAAATTTAGATGAATACGACTCTCCACAATAGTATGGATATTGTCCGCTTTAAGCATAAACTCTCATGGCTTTGCTTTGGGCTTCTCCAAAATGCCTCATACCAATGGAGAGTGTATTCTTAGATTATAAATCTATTACCATTCTCTAAATTAACCAATGTGGGACACTTTCATCCAACAATATTAACGGTAGTCTCATGTGAGGTCACATATTAATTACAGGGAACAACGGAACATTTCATCTAGGGGTGTGGAAACTTCTTTGTGAAACAGACTAGCATATTTAGCAAGCTAAAACAGACAATATTTGTTATTGTTAGGGATGGATTAAGACGAGAGAGAATATAAATTACCAAATTTGAAAATTGAATAAACAGGAGAATATGTGTTTTTTTAATGATTTAATTATCTAGGGAAAGAAAATTATTCAAAAAGTGAGCCGCCTGTGCTGCAGCCAGGCAGGCTCTTCAAATTAGCGCCACTCGAAAGAAGAGGTTGGAGGTGTTCAATCAGCAAGCGTTTCTGATTCTCTCTCAATCGCTCCCACAGCCTTCTCCTGCTTCGTCGGAGCCGGAGTTGGCGCCTTCTAGGTCTACTGAACGCTCCAATTCACGAACATGCCTGTCGTCGGCGTTCTAGCTTTGCAGGGATCTTTTAACGAGCACATCGCAGGTTCTTCTTCTTCTTCTTCTTCGCTATTGCTAGTTCCTTTTGTAGATGAATATGAATTGTTGTGTTATTGTGGCGCGCAGCTTTGAGAAGGCTCGGAGTGAAGGGCGTAGAGATAAGGAAGCCTGAGCAGCTTCTTAATGTAGCTTCTCTGATTATTCCTGGTGGAGAAAGCACCACCATGGCCAAACTTGCGGATCTCCATAACTTGGTTTATTCCTCTTTCCTCTACATATTGCACCTATAATTGCACAAAATTGAACATAGGAATAGCCTAAAAGTTGAAGCATCTTGCATTCAATCGTGTTTAAGCCGACATCTAATCTTTATTTCTCGATGCTATTGCCCCGATAAAGCTGTTTTCGCAGATTAGACATATCAGACATCTCAAATTGATGGTTTCATTATCATCTGGCTTAGAATTAGAATCGAGTGTATTTATGTTGTCGTAGCTTTGTATATTTCCAGTTTCCTGCTTTGCGTGAGTTCGTTAGAATGGGGAAGCCCGTGTGGGGCACCTGTGCAGGGCTCATCTTTTTGGCAAACAAGGCTACTGGTGGATTTCCTTCCTCTTTTCCTCACCATTTCAACATCAATAAAATGCTTGAAATGCGCTCTAAACTTGGTATGGATACATGAATTTTCAGGACAGAAAACCGGTGGACAGGAACTTGTTGGTGGGCTGGATTGTACTGTTCATAGAAACTTCTTTGGAAGTCAGGTAACTCTTGTTGCTTTCTCTTATTCGGTTCTGAAACTAGGAAATTGGCATGGAATGTGTTCAGGAATCAAATTTGCATGAAGCTATCTCTGCCTGTGTGGCACTGTAGCCGACATGAACTTTTCCCTTCAAGTCATCCGACTAGTTGAATCAGCTTCTGATGTTTTTTTGAATCATAGCATGTTGGAAAAATACAGCCATCTGGGGAGCTTAGACACTTGTTAATGACCATTACGTGTTAGAAATCACGGATCTCCACAATGGTATGATATTGTTCACTTTGAGCATAAGCTCTCGTAGGCTTTGCTTTTAGTTTCCTCAAAAGGCCTCATACCAATGGAGATGTATTCCTTACTTATAAATCCATGATCATCCCCTTAATTAGTCAATGTAGGATCCCTCCCACAATCCTCACTAAGCTATTTGAAAATCTACCTTACTACGGGCTCAAATAATGACTTTTCCCCAATGAAAAGTTTCATACTTGATTTAAAATCCTCCATCTCACACGTAGTATGAGATCTTCATTGAAGCATGGAGTTCAGAATGCAGAATCCTTGATGGTTTTGTTTGTACACAAGCTGATCCAAACATAATTATTGATGTTGATTCCGAATGTTCTGTCTTTCCCCGGATACATGTTATCAGCTTATTGTTGAAGTTCGCTTTATATTCACTTGTCCATTTCTTGAGTTCAGAGTTTCCTAATTTAAGAAGATATCATTATTATGCAGCTTCAAAGCTTTGAGGCAGAGCTGTCGATACCAGAGCTAGTGTCTACTGAAGGTGGTCCGGAAACATTTCGTGGAGTTTTCATCCGAGCTCCTGCAATTCTTGAAGTGGGATCAGACGTCCAAGTGCTGGCTCACTGCCCTGTCTCTTCAAACTCTTCCTTGCATTCAGATTCCTCTGGTGAAGGCAAAGAGGTTTGTTGTATCATCTCTACTCTGCTAGTGCCTCTAATTTGAACACCTAAATGATTGTAATCTGTATATATGAGCCACAAGTTTCAGACGGTACATATGTCGGTTTTGAGTCATAGTTCAGTAGAATTATAATTTCACTGTCACACTAGAGTGTGTTAAGTCGTGTTCCAAATTGGGTTTTAAAAAGAATTAGGCCAAAAATTAGGATACATTTTGAGAAAATAAAACTTCTATCGAAGAAGAGGAAGGCTTTCATAAAATTTCTCGTAGAATCTTGAATGAAGTTTTCATTTTGTACATGTCAGATCATGAATGAATAACTGCATCCAATCTCCAAAAAAATTCCTATTGTTTCAAACTTTTTCTTTTTGGAGTGGAACTTTCTCTTTTCCTCCTACCCCTTCACATTATGGTTTAATGAATATCTCAGGAAGAAGGTTCAGAAAGTAAAGTGATTGTAGCAGTGAGGCAAGGGAACTTACTCGCAACAGCCTTCCATCCTGAATTAACATCGGATAACAGATGGTATAGTGTAGTTCTAACTTGAAATACTCCACAGCATATTATGATGATCATCTCAAGTGAGTTACAACAATGGGCTATGCAGGCACAGTTACTTCCTAAAGATGGCTGGCGATGTTGAAGAATCCTCAACTAGCACAGCAGCAGACATAGTAGATAACGATTCGAGATTCGAAAAACCAAAGATCGACCTTCCGATTTTTCTTTAGCTTAAACCAAATGAACCCCTCCTTCCTCCTCAACCCACACTTACCTTTTCAAGTTTCATTCTAGGTTTAATCTATCCATTTCACAATTTGGACCATGATTTATGTTCCTAGGATTCTTCTGTTGTATTAATTTGTTTATGACACGTTTGATGTTCCTTATGTCATGTTACATGGAGTTTTGTGTTTTAGTACTTCAAAATTCCTCCTCTCATAACTAAACAAGCAAGAACATGATAATGATTTTATTTTTTATCTACATAAAGCGATTTTAATTTCCATTCTCCTACCAGCACTTGCGATGTAATATTCTCGAAAATAATTAATCAATATGTGGGTTGTAGATTCATTGAAGTGTTGATAAAATATAAGTAATCAATGAAAAGAAAATAATGAAATAATTTGAATCTAAATATAGTTAAATTAGTTAAAATGTTATGATAAAAAAAAAAGAGTATAAATAAAATATGGGAAAGAAGATTTGGCTCAGCATGTTCTATACGGGGGTGAGAAGGTGCCCCGGGAGCTGGGGAAGTGAAAGTCGCTAAAATCGGCCGAGCGCAGTAAATAGAGTCCCAGATGCAGGCCAGATAGAGCATCAATTCTTCAGTGCGAGCACGCTGTATGTTCTATACCGAGTACTCAGTAAATTATAGACCACTGCAAATCTGCGGGGAAGAAGGCGCAAATCCTTCTTTCATTTGTTGAGTCAAAAGGACATTAAAATCCCCCCTCATCTAAGGACGATGACTTGCCAGTGTGTAGGTTCTTGGTGAAAAAGGACCCGTAGTTCCCCCAAATTCTCAAACACCGATCTTTAACCATGGCTTCGTCCAAAAAATCCAGTAGTGAAGCCAAGAGCAAAGAAGCGGGAACTTCAAAACCAGCCCCCAACAACAAGACCCACAACAACAACGCCAGAACAATCGACAAGGTTTATTCAAAGAAGAAGAAGGTTAGCAACAGCAACAAGCACACTAGCAATGGCTCTGTGAAGGAGAACGAGGTGTTACCCATTTCTGCTCCAGGCGATGCCGAAGAAGACAGAGCAGAAACCACGAGTAAATCGCCTAACACCTCCAAATCGAAGAAAGTTAAACGGAACCGTGGAAAGAAAGAACAGAATGGTTATGTAGAAGAAGAAGAAGAAGCAGAAGAAGAAGCTGAGGAGAAGATTTACAAATTCCCTATGAATCGGATCAAGAAAATCATGAGGGATGAGAATTCTGATTTGCGCATAAATCAGGAAGCTTTGTTTCTCGTCAACAAAGCAACGGTAAGCCCTCAACACCCCGCCCCACCCCACACAGGCATTGCTCAAAATTAGGTCTTTTCTTGTTGGTGGAAGATGGATAGGCATTGTTTGTTTCTAAAGGTCTGTAAGCTTCTTAATTGGTTGCAGGAGATGTTTCTTGTGCAATTTTGCAAGGATGCATATGCGTGCTGTGCTCAGGATCGCAAGAAGTCTCTTGCTTACAAGCATCTATGTAATGTTCCTATTCTCTATCCTGATATCATGCTCAATCTTCATTTTCATTTACCCTTCTTGTCTGGTTCTGATCTAAAAAGAAAGCTAGACCTGTGAATTATATCGTTGTGTACTTCAACTGCACTATCATATGCCCATGGCAGGGCTTTACCTTTAATGAAATGTTTCAATATATGTTCCCCATGATTCAAGGGACCAGATTTAAGAATGGCTGGTCTTGTTTTTTCTGTATTCATGCTGCAAAATGAATAGCAGCATGATGGTCAGCTATTTAGTAGTGACAAGGAAGATATCATGATCACTGTCATAGTTTAACATGGATTATGACCTTAGATTTAGGTTACTCCAATTACATGGTTGTTAAGGGACTTGAATTATATGAGCCTCTATCTGTCAAACTATTGCGTTGTGGAGAATTACTGATTTGTATTATCAGTGCATTGCTTTATGCTTTCAAAGAGCTAGATCCCCAATGAGTTCACATATATGAGGAGGAAGAATAAAAGCCAGTGGAAGGAAAGTTGTTGAATCTGATACTTGGGAAGGGCATAAGTTGGTTGGGGAGGGGTCCGTAATTGTAACAACTCAAGTCCACCACTAGCAGATATTATCCTCTTTGGGTTTTCCCTTTCGGGCTTTCCTTCAAGGTTTTAAAACGCGTCTGTCAGGGAGGTTTACTCACCCTTATAAAGAATGGCTTCGTTCTCCTCCCCAACCGATGTGGGATCTCATGATCCACCCCCCTTCGCGTTCCCTTCTCCATTCGATGTGGGACCCCCCAATCCACCCCCTTTCGAGGCCCAACGTCCTTGCTGGCACATTGCCTTGTGTCCACCTCCTTTGGGGCTCAGCCTTCTCGCTCACACATCGCCCGGTGTCTGGCTCTGATATCATTTGTAACCACCCAAGTCCACCACTAGCACATATTGTCCTCTTTGGGCTTTCTCTTTCAGGCTTCCCTTCAAGGTTTTAAAACGCATCTGCTAAGGAGAGGTTTCCATACCCTTATAAAAAATGGTACGTTCTCCTCTCCAACCGATGTGGGATCTCACGGTAATTGATATCAGCACTCCTTTTGGACAACGGTAAGGTAGGTGGTCAAGGGAACAGAAAGGGAGAATATTGAAGTACATATTTGGTAGACAAAAATGGGGAGGGATTGTGAGTCTAGTATGAAATTTCAATTTGGATGAGGAGAGAACAGGAAGACTCCTGGATCTCTTCCCTTTTGTTTTGTTCTGCTATCTATTCCTAGAAAGTGAATTCAAGTGTCTATCATCTGTCTAGGGGACGAAATTTTGATAAGCCTTTCGTTTTACTTATTGCTTCATATATCTACTATTGCTAATAATTTCACTTGTGAGAATTCTGAAGATACTTCTTTTCTTTATGACCACATTTTGATGTTGGAAAATGTGGGGGTAGAAAGGAAAAAAGGAGGCATTTTCTTCTATCCCGAATAAAGGAAAAGAGGAGGCATTGTGTTATGTGTAAGATTTTTATTGAAGTAGTAGTAAGACTCTCCTTTGTTGTTGCAGCATCAGTAGTTTGCAAAAGGAAGAGATACGACTTTCTTTCAGGTACGTACATACCCATGCCTATTACTTAAGGCTCAACTACTGCTACTATTAGAAAGATTCTTGAACTGTCAAACGCGGTATAAGACGTGTTTTTTTCATCTCCAGATTTTGTCCCAGAGAAATTAAAATTTGAAGATGCATTGAAGGAAAGAAGCATGGCAGAATCAGGAAAAGACTAGGCTTTTTGATATCTTAATCTAACACTTCATCTTGTTCTGTGGATGTGTTGGGTTTAGGTATCTTTTTTTTGTCATGTCAATGGGAATACATGGAAGTTAGAACATTCATTTTCCCTCCGTACAGTTCTGTAAGTTTATTAACGACATCTCAGATCTAACATAATTAAACTATTACTTACACAGGGATCTTTTTTCTTCCTGGGCAAATCCAACAAATCTATTTGCTCAAAAGCAGAAAATAAGGGCAAAAAATTCTTCTCTTTATATTTGACTTCTTCCAATTACACTAAGTTAATAAAGCTCAATGGAAACGGGAGATATTTGATAGTAAATCCAGAAATGAAATGAAGTAATTCTACAGAAAGCTAAGAAGATCATTGAAGTGCAGTATTGAAGTCAATGAATGTTCTTCCAAATTTACCTCGCAACTCAGGGCTATCCCATAGTTCAACCACTTGAACAATAAGCTCTTAATCCAACTCAGCTTCATATACTGCACAAACATGACATGTGTTAGCAGAGAATCGCATGTTTTTTCTTCAAAATCTTCTGGGAAAGTTCCCTCTTCTTAACACATTTTTAGAGAAAGATGGAAAAAGTGAACTCACTTGTACAAGTAAGAAGCGATTCCAAGAATTATACAGAGAAAAACGACATTGATGCGGAAGTTTTGGCCGGAATCTCACCTTCAAATACAGAAGCACAGTAAAAAAGGGTGTTTTGTTTTCAAAGACAATTCTTGCCGTTACCTCATAGAGTGTTTTCTTGAGCCTAACATTGGTATTTTTAATCTAATTAGTCACCTTATTTACCTGTAAAAACGTCAAAAGCAGAACCAGCTACGAAACTTGTCATCTGCTAATCTTGACCAAACAAACTTCTATAACTATACCTTTGAATCGATCTCGTCAATTAATGGAACTTGGCTGTTCAATTCCTGGACAAGGATAAAATCAATTACAAGAACCAAACAGGGTAATTAAGCATCTCATTTGTATATCTTTTCATTTCACTACTTAAAAGTTTGCTTAAGCTAATGAGTTAAAGGTAAATTTGATTATATAAATACTTCAACACTCATCTCGTTCATATCATGGGCCAGATTTTTAAGCACATCCAACCCTTCAGATATGATATCAAGACCTTGGTCCTGCAAAAATGGTCACACAGATCATTCGAAGCCCAACCTCATTGTCGTAACAAAACTGATAAGCCATGATATTGGAATTACATTAAAAGGATTATATTTGCTCCAACTCACTTGTATAATGTCATTCGATTTATCTTTAATAGTTTGTGTTCAGTAATGCAGTCTAAAATGAGCTTAGAACTAATTTCCATGGCATAAAAATGGTAAAGAAACTCACAGGCCCGTTTCATCTTCCGCATGTCATACTCGTTTCGAAATTGACTTGATTCTTCACTTTGCTGGAAATACTCGCTCTCAAAGTTTCCATCTAAAGTGCGTAAAACCTGATAAATCAAATTTGATATTGTTAGATGAGGCGGAGGACGCCCATCCTCCAGATTGCTTGGCTCCTGAGGTACTCCTATCTGGTATCGCTTTAATCCTCTCTTGAAGCGCAAGAACAAGATCATCTCCGACTTCGAGCTCTTCTTTCGGAACACCTTTAACCTATAATCATAAACAATCACATTCATGGAGATTAAGAAAAGAAACCAGAACAGAGAAAGCCCTAACTTCAAATTCTATCTCACCATCTTCAATTAAACAAGAAGACGGAAATTTTCACCTTCTTGCGAGCCAATTTACAAAGTTTCGGCACTTCATCCATCAATCGGGCCTTCTTCCGTCGAACCTGGGCATTCATCGCAACTGCAGCAGTCCTAATCTTCTCAGTTGAGGCGACTTCAGATTTCTAAAATTAAATTGGATAAGTTATTGAAGAACAACAACAAGAAGACAACGAGCGGGAAAACCTGAAGAGCGGCATGGATTTCGAGTTCAACGGCAGCGAAGAGGCGAGAAAAGACACCATCACCATAAGCATTGAGCTCGCGCTGTTTCTGAACATCATACTTCTCGTATCTCTGGCAAACGGAATCTACTCGGAAGATGAGATCGATTACAGTGATCTTGGCATAGGCGAGGGAGATGAAGAACAAGGGCAGGAGGAAGAATGAAGCAGAAATGTGGAGATAGAAATGGTTGGAGTATTGTTTCTTCTTCATTTTGGACAACCATGAAAACCTCTTCTCTCCGCCTCACACTCTCAGACGTCCGGCGTTTAAAGCGGTTTCGAAGATGCAACCGAACCAATGCCCATGGCGGGTAACCATATTTTTAAATAATAATAATAATAATAAACAACTTATTTTATCTTAAAATTTTAATTACAAATAAGAATTTAATAAGCTTTCATCCATTACATATTTGTCTCTCAATTTTAAAGTTATTTTATTTATCTCTATAATTAAATTAAAAATTAATTAAATAAAATTATTTTTCTAATGAAATTTTTTTCATTGGCCGTCACATTCTAGTCCCGTTAATTCCAAGAGCTAAGATCTGTGAAGATTCTAATATGATATAAAACAACTGTTCTCGTAAAACTATTTCCTGATATAAAACGACTATTCTCGTAGAACTATTTCCTACGCCAACGTATCCAAAGTGATTAGTGGTCAGCATTCCTGCGTACCCTCTTCCTTGATCATCGCTCCCGAATCTAAAAGTGACATTTGGATGTAACCGTGAGACTTTGGTTATAAAGATTGGCCGAACCTAGATTTATGGATAGATTCAATAATCAAATCCAAAATTCAACTCAATCAATATGAATAACGACCTTGATTAGTAAACCTCCAAGATCATGTAAAAGTCCAGCCGGGAAGAAATCTAATGTGTGAGTGAGTACCAATCAGAAAACGTACACAAACCAGAAATGACGAGCAAATTGCTAATAAAGATGATCTAAGCATAAAACCTAGGAGAAACAGTTCATCTTCATATCAGCTACAGAACGATCTGGTTCTTTTGATACAACGATCGTAAAATTTACAGAGCAAAATCCGAAAACAAAGCGTTATATCATCAGGTGAGTGGAAACTAGAACATTTCAAAGCACGTTATACAGAATGAACAGAGGATTAAACTCCAGCCGCGGATCTCGCGCGGTAGAGCTTACCAAAGACGTGGAGGACGGTGACGAAATCGATGAAGCAGAGGCTCAAAACGAGGACGACGGTGGGAGAAATCTTCAAGCCTGGAGCAACATCGGTGTAGAACCTCAACATGTTGCCGCCGCCGCCGCCGCTTGATCCACCGCCAACGAGTCCAGTAGAGCCGGCAGCAGAAGTGGAGCCGAGACGGCGACGTCGAAGGCCAGCCGCGAGGAGCGACGACGCCACGTCTGGAGGTGGAGGAGGATGCGGATTGGGATTGAGAATCGGAGAGGAAGATCGGAATCAGGTCGATTTGGGGGGAAAATGAGAGACAAACAGAGGAGACCCCCAAATGGCTTCCCTTACATCGGGGCTATTTTCGTAAATTCACATAACCGAAATAAAATATATAATAATGTTACTAAAAGCTTAGATCTAGAAAGAAAGAAAGCAAGTAATTTACAACTATTTATTAATCTTTTACAAAATCATCACAAAAGCAGCGAATGCATCGGATTCAGCCCTAACCGCTGGGCGCTCCAGTTTACGACACACCGCGATTGAAAACCGGAGGCGGATCACGGCCGCCGTGCAAGGTGCGAAGACGGCGCTTGCTTCGCTCGCGAGGATCGGTCGGTTCTCCATCGCCGACGTAGTGAACGACGGCAACCGTCAGAAGAAGCACTCCTAAACACAAAACCGCATAGCAGTGGCGCCCTAGCCTGCCGAGAATCGCCCCCACAGCCGTCTCCATCTCCATTTTTCTCGCTCCGGTGAAGAAATTCGTGGATCTGATCTTGACTGAGGAAGAAATTGTACAAAGTGGTGAGAAATTAGTGGAAAATGACGAGAAGATTTGGGGTTAGGGTTTCGTCATTCTGGAAATGTGGAGCAATGATTGAACGGGTGAATTGGATAGAGATGAAGGTCGAAGGGGGGATGGCATTTCGTTGGTGGGTCCCGCCTGGGTTTTTCTCGAGAAAATATCTGAAATATAATATCGATTCTTTCTTTTTTTATAAATATAAAATTAACGAATTTGTTTAATTAAAAATTTTCTTACATCCTTTTGCTTTGATTATTTTTTTATTTACTAAGCTTATAAAATTACCAATTTGGTCCCACAATAATTATGAGAGTTTGACATTAAAGTAAATGATTAATGCTAATTATAATTCTAGGTCCAAATCACTCAATTATTTTTGCTAAATTACAATAAAATTTAAATTCGTTAAATAATTTTACGGTCTTTATCATAAATTTAATTTAGTCTCGTCTTTTATATATATATATATTTATTTATTTATTTATTGTGATGTCCCGCATTGGTTGGAAGAAGAACAAACCACCGTTTATAAGGGAGTAGAAACCTTCCCCTAGCAGACACGTTTTAAAACGTTGAGGGAAGTTCGAAAGAAAAAATCCAAAGATGACAATATCTGCTAGCAGTGGATCTGGGTCGTTACAAATAGTATCAGAGCCAGACACTGGGAGTGCCAGTAAGAACGTTGGGCCCAAAGGGGGTGGATTTGAGGGCAGTCCCACATCGATGCCTTCTCGTTGTTCCCCACAGGGGGTAGACACAAGGCGGTGTGCCAGTAAGGACGCTGGGCTCCAAAGGGGGTGAATTTGGGGGCGGTCCCACATCAATTGGAGGAAGGAAAGAGTGCAGTAAGGACACTGGACCCCGAAGGAGAGGGGTGGGGGTGGACTGTTGATGTGCCATGTTGGTTGGAGAGGAGAACAAACCACCATTTATAAGGGGGTGTGGAAACCTTCCCCTAGCCGATGCATTTTGCGTTTTAAAGCCTTGAGGGAAAGTCCGAAAGGAAAAGTCCAAAAAGGACAATATCTGCTAGCGGTGGGTCTGGGTCGTTACATATATATAGGTAAGATGAAGATTCAAGTGGTCGAGAATAATGAACTAAGATTAAGACGTTAGAATTAAGGATAGAGTCATTGTCAAAGTGGTCCGTATATTTTTATTTTATAATAAAAGTAATGAAATAAAATATATATAAATTTCCAAAGTCAAAAACCCAATTCACATTCAACATTTAAAAAGAAATTATATATATTAATAAATTTATTAATTACGAGCCACTAACTAAAATTAAAATGTACCTTTCATTTACATCAACCAACAATAAATTATTCTACAAATCTCAACCATTTTCCTTCGGTTTTTACCATAATACCCTCACCATTCCTCTCCTCACCCCAAGTGACGTATAATTTACACAATAATGCGTCAAAATTGTATCATTTTAAAAAGAATGACTCCAATCATTAGCCTCACCCCATCTATTCAATTTCATCCCAAAAAGTAAAATTAATTAAATCAAATTAGCTTCATACTCCATCGACTCTTCTATCGAACGAGAATTCCTTCGGGCCCACGTCAATCTCGTGCTGCTCACCGTTATTATTCGCATTCGAATTTGGAGTCTGGGTCGTCGAGTCGATTTGGGGTGAATCCCTGTCAACATCGGCTTCGCCGACCTCCATGTTGCGATGGAAGTGGTGTTTGTGGGAACTGGAGCCTTCGACATCGAGAGGACGATGGTGGAAATGGTGCGATGGCGAAGGAGAGTCTGGATCCCATTGGTCGTTGTCGAAATTTGATCTTCTAGGAGAGGTATGGAAACTGTCCAATTCGCTTCGATAGTGGCGGAGAAGGTGCACTGGTGACATGTGGTGGGAGGGTGTAGCAGGGCGGCTCGACATCGGCGTCATCGACCCCCGATTTTGCTTGATGTGTTTGCGAGCCGTGTGGTGCCAGTTTCTCAACGCTGTCGCTACTCTATCGTTGAAAATCGTCGGCTTCATCGTCGAACCCATCTTCATTAAAAAAAAAAAAAAAAGCAAACAATTAAAGCTAATTATTTCGAGTGAATGCATATTATATGGTTTTGGGATGTAACGAATTCGAGTCACACACCTGTGTGACTAGCGCATAAAGAGGCAACGTGACATAACTGCATAGGATTTGAACGAGGACTCTGTTGCAATAATACAAAAACACAATCACTTTATTATGATTCGTAAAAATTATTTATCATGTGACAGACGGTAATTGAATAATTACAGTTACCCCATCGTTATTCTGATCACCAAATCCTCGATATGCTCGTGAAAACAAGATTTCATCCCGAATTCTTTCTGTAAAATTAATAAAAATATTTAAAATAAAAATTAAAAAAACTATTTAAAAAAAAAAGAATATATAGAAATAATAATATACCCAAGTCCAAGCAAAGAAAGCAAGCTGAAAGGCATTCTGAAAGAGCACAAAATTGATGAGATAAAGAATGAGCCGGGGCCGGTTGAACCAAAACAGGTCGTCCCCCGGTTCGACCACCGGCACTCCCTTCACCACCTCCCCTCGTTCCTGAATCCTCAGGCCCATTTTCGTAATTATCACTTGCAACTTAGTCCCCACCAATAACACAATCTGCACGTACGTACACAATTTATATTAATTAACCAACGCCCCCCCAATATCCCAATAATATCAATTTCACCCCAAATATGTTTCATCTTACAATTAATGGCACAAATGGCAGCCATAGATAAGCCCTCCACCCTGCAAAACCCCAAAATATATAATTATTATAATTATTTTTAATTCATTAAAAAATAATTCCGTTTATTAATTTAATTTTACTCACCGTGGGTATTGAAAAGCAGGAAGAGGACAGCGAAGAACCAGATGGGTGGGCTGTAAGTGAGCATTTAATTAATTTAGCTAACATTATGGGCATGAAATGTAAATAAATCAATTCATAGGGACTGATTTGAAATAATACTCAACCTGATACTGACAACCACCTTGAAATCTTCTTCCAGCGATCGCTTTATGTATTTCCTAAAGTCAAATTTCTGATCGCTGTGCGGTGCCAGGTGTGCCTATTCCAATAATTATTATTTATTTTAAAATAATAATAATATTATTATTAATAAATGACGTGAAAAAGAAAAAAATAGAACTAACCATGACAAAACCATGTCTTAAAGTCAAGTAATCAACCTTAGGAACAGACCGAACAAATTGTCGGAAGAAACAAACCTATCCCAACAAAAAAAAATTTAACTTTAAAATATATATTTTTTAAAGATATTTAAATAAGAAAGCACGTGAACTCATAAAGTAATTAATTATTTAATTAAATTAACATAAATGAGTTGGTTTGGCTTACAATCCACATGAGGAAGGGCGATTTGGTCCAGAAACTTAAATGTCTTCGCCCGAACGACGTGTCTCTTGCAAAACGGAATCGTTCTGGATCTGTCGTGTTTAAACACAAATGTTAGCTCGCACGAGAATTTATTAATAAAGTATATAATTTCGGGGGATTTTAATTTACCATGTGAAAATTGGTACTCGACCGTTCTCGTTTCGTTTTCCCACGACTTCCAGCTCCTCATCTATTTATTTATAATTAATTATGAACCGACAAGAAAAAATAAATAAATAATAAAATGAATTTCCACGTACCTTAGCATTACCCAAAGCTAAAGTTAAGACACAGTACAGAACATGGAAAACGGCCAATACGAAGATGAATATATGCAGCTGATGGATTCCTCCTTCCGACACGAACGGAACTTTCCCCTGCGTTTAATTATTTTAATTTAATAAATAACGAATTAATTTTAAAAAAAGCACACTCCGACGTCGTTTAGTATACCCTCTCAGCACATTTGTCGGATCCACCGGCCGCGGCGAGGACACGGCGGAAAGTGGCATTAACAGGGGACATGGCGAGAAGTTTCCGGCGACTATTGTCGGAGTCGATTGAGTCATGAGCTTGGGTTAACTCCAGCTCTTTTTTAGGGCTGCATGGATGCCACGTGGCGGCGACTTCTGGGGGTATACAAACATTAGTGATTAAGCTCTGTCCGACCGTTAGGAGCAGAGAAATGAACCCCAGCAGCATCAGCTCTGTAATTGAAGAATTGGGTATTTAGAAATTGATATCAAGAGCTTCAGAGATTGATATCAATGATGGATGAGTATGGTACCAGATTTGATCTTCTCCAGAGCTTCGTAAAGAGCTCGTTTGTGCTTCTTCTTAAGCCACTGCAAAGATCAATACAAAATTTCTTAAAAAAACAGAGCAAAAATTGATGGGTTATTTATTTATTTATTTTTGTTACCTTTCCGATGAGATGGAGAATGTGTTCGATGATTATGGAAATCAGAACCAGAACGAAACAAACGACGGCGACGGCCCACGTCGGCGTCTCTTCCAAGGACCTTCCGGCGCCACCTCCGGCCATGGTGGTTTTCTGGGAAAGAGAGAGTGCAGATTCGAAGGAAGAAACTGAGAGGGATTTAAATTGGGGGAAGCTGAGACTGGAAGACGATGACTTTGACTTCATAACGCGTGGAGCAAATGAACAGATAAATAAATTAAAATTAAAATTAAAATTAAAATTTTATATTTATAAATATCAATTTTTTTAAAAATGGCGTCTTGCGGTTAATTTAATTCCATTTTTAAAGAGTCCCAGTGGCTTCGGTCTCTATTTTTTTTTTTTTTTTTTATTTATCAAATTAATTAGTTTATTTTATTTTATTTTTATAAAAAATATCGGTACCATAAATCCTCAGCCAAGTTGTGTACAATTAATTATAATTTAGTTAGTCAAACATTTTGTAACATAGACATTTCTTCTAAAAAATAATAACAATTAATTTCTCTTACTTTTTCTTGTATTTATTATCAACTTATTAATGATTTTGAATCCACACCATTTGTTTGAATTTTATTTTATTTTTATTTATTACAGTTTACTCATAAATATTTATATATATATATTGTTTGTTAGCCTAATTGTGGTATATAAATTGAATGGTCCCATTCATCCATAAATCACCTACAAACTTTAATAATTTATTAAGTAATAAAAAATCAACCATTTTGCCGTTCAATTATTATCCCATTTTGAAAAATACGAAAGTAATTTATTTTTATTTTGGATAAAGAAAATGTGAATGCATGGCTGCAATTATTAATCATTAAATACCCACTCTTACCCGCCATAGTTTAACAAAATTATTTAAATTAAATCACTATTTACACATTCAATTATATATATAAAAACAATAGATTATATACTTTTAACACGAGATTTAATGTATTAGAGCTTATTATATATTAATAATATTATTATTATTATTTCAAACGGTGGAATGATAATTAGATCGGTAGGTCATATTTGAATGTGGTTTTGTTTTTTTTTTTCTTTTTAATTGTCATTTATATAAATAAATCTTATATAAGTAATTAGTGAATTGAGTCCGAAAATTTAATTTAATTCTCTAGTCCTAATTCTTCACGTTAGGTAAAAGGTCCCAAAAAAAAGGGGCTTTGTTTGTAATGTTTGAAAATGTCAACGACGAATCATGTTTACACACGTCAGCAATTAAAATTGATCCTTACACGTGTTGACACGTAATTGAGCGTAGAATGCGGACCCGCTGGTTCCTTTAGACCGCAGTTCTGGACCGTCATGTAGACCATTTTTCATAATATTACAAATGCAGCCGCTCCTTACGACCACACCAGCCGTCCCGATGTTCGGCACTCACTTTCAGCATCGAATGTATCAACCTACTCAAATTTGAGTAGTCGATGGTCGGACGACGTATACTCAAGTTTTTAACTCCGCTTTGAGAATATAAAGTTTTTAGAAAATAAGGGCACAGAGATTAATTTGAAACTGAGAAGCTAACAAATAAAAAATTAGTAACTAATCACATCCCTATAATACATTATTTTTAGTCTATGATACGTTATTTTGTCAAAAAATTATATTACTAGGAAATATAATAAAAAAACTATATATCATGAAAGCAATAAATCAGTATAGTACCGGGATTTGGCATACAACACAGATGCTGCCATGGGCAACACATAATGGATAATTATAACCGTGACATTTATCAAGTAATAAAAAATATAAAATAAAAGAAGATAGAGTTTTTAAAACAATTAAATTAAATTTTCTGATTAAGAACTAAAATGAAATTTTATTTAAAAGATTAATGATTATTGTAAATATCTTTTTGTATTTTCAAATTACATCTTTACCCTTGGAAATAGCAATCAAATATTTTATTTTATTTATTTATTCCCATCAGCCAATATAATATGTGTTGGTGTAGTTTAATTTAGTTTAATCATGCTTAAAACATGTTAATTATTAATTACACAAAATCAATTAAATTTGATTTTATCATGAAACAGAAAACTAAAACGACGTAGTATTTAATCAGTCATTTTAAATTCCAAATTAAAATTTAATATTAAAAATAAAAATTTATAACTTATTAGCGTCATACAGGACTGATCATGTAGCGTATCAGACCCACTGCTATTTTCTTTTTATTTTTTTAAATTTTAATTTAATTAACCCGAACTCTGCGGTCAATATAAGAAACCCTCCATTTATTAATTCCTATTTTATTTTTATTTTTAAATCACAACTAAATAAAACCTCCTTTTATTATTATATTTGGACTGCAAATTAAATAAGTTTGCTGTAAGTGTCACCAATAAAATTTAAAAAATTTTAAAAATTTATATTAAAAAGTTTTACAAATATTTAAAAAAAATATTAAAAAACGTATTAGATAATTCATCATCGCTTCTTTGAAAATGATCATTAATCAGTCAAAATACGGAAATATTAATAAAAATGTGAAACTTAGTTTGAATGAAAAAAATAAAATTAAATAAAAATGACGAAGAGTCGTGAATTATAAATTGTCAATTAAAAAAATGTATAATTTTATCTTTTAATTAACCTAGCGTATTCTTCCTTCTAGAAGTAATTAGTCTTTAAGCGAACAAATTAATGAAGATTAAGGAATAATTAACAATCTAAATCCATTAGTTTTTAAATAAATGTTTGTTTAGTACAGAAGCGAAGGGCGACCAAGTCTCTTCACCCAAAATTATGAGCTTGAAATTCTACAAATCCTATGTTTAAATAAATTATTTTATTATTATTATTATTATTTTAATGGATCTCATTAATAATTTAAAAAATGTATTTCTTATGAAAGAAGACCTAATGCCCCGGTCACCGGTTTCAATCATTTTGTTAATTAACTTAATAATCCTTCTCTTTTCCTCTAATTTAACGGAGTTTTATTTATTTATTTATTTAAATATTTTAATTAACAATAATTTAATTGTTAACCTACCATAATTATTGTTTGAACTTTTATTTAGTCACTAATATTTTAATATTTAAAAATAAATAAAAATGCTCTTATCGCCCGTTTTTTTTATGGAGAACCGTTCACATTTTGTTTCAAAAATGCCTTTCAGTTTTTAAAAATTTCATTAATGCCGACTTTTTTAAAAACTCAAAAAAAAAGAAAAAAAGTTTAAAAAATTTTAAAATACATGTATTATGAGTACATGTTTTAAAAATACTCTTGAATTTTTAAAAAATAATATTAAAAAATTTAAAATTAATTTATAAAGTGTTGATAGACACTTTTTGTCCTATATTGATAGTAAAAATTGTTTTAAACTTTTTTCATAAAGGTAAAAAAAGTTAATTCTACTTTTTAAACTTTAAATATATATATATTTTAACATAAACAAATGGTAAGGATATTTTTTAACCTTAAAAAAAATTAAAAAGTATTAATGAAACATTTTAAAGTTAAAGTATATCTGAAACAAAATGTTAAAGATAGGTGACAGTTTATTATAAAACAAATATTTAGATGTTTATATTACGGCTTACCATCAAATATATTGTATTAATTTATTATTTATTATTTTTATTGTTATTTTTATATTATGTAATTTACCATATTTCTCTATAAATAATTATAAATAGAGAACTTTCTATGGTTTCCGCAAACATTTTTACAAAATATTAATGATTTTCATCCCAAACGAACGTAAACATATTTTTTTTTAGTATTTTTTCTAAAAATTAAAGATATTGATTAAAACTTTCAAATTTAAAATGTAAAATTGAAATAAATATTTGTCCACATGACTTATACTTTTAAACTATATAAGTCATACAAATCTAGACTTCTTCCACTCACAATGTAAACGTAGAAAACCGGATCAAAGGAAAATGGGTGGGAACTCAAGCCATACTTTATTCCGAATGAAAGTCAACGCTCGATTAATTGTTGAGCTTCTATCAAAGGTTATTATCAATGGATAGTGCGAGACGAAAGAATAAAAAATATTCGTGAATTCTGTCTCTCGTTTCTTTTAAAATATGAGATTTTGATAAAAATTAAGGTATAAAACAGTGATCTGGAACGATCTGATGGTACTATGATCTTAATTTCGTTGAGCTTTTGTAAGAATTTTAGGGGAAAGGATCAGAAAGTTGATGTTATATCAAACATAAAATTTATATTTATATTTAAAGGATAAATTAATTTAATAAAATGAAAACTGACTTTTTTTTATGAATTATTAAATATAAATATATATATATATAAAGATCATTAATGGGCTCGAAAATTGAGCCCATGTCGGTGGAAACACGGCCCATTTGATTAAATTAGAACCCCTTGCCGCCCTTTTCAAGTTTTGAAGTTTCAAATTTCCATCTGATCCTTTACTGTTCTTCTCCCTTCTCTCCTGATTCCACAGATCTTGATTTGCTGAAAGATCGGCGTTAATTCAACTCAGTTCACTACATTCATTGCAATTAATGGATCCTAAGCTTACTCAGATTCCAGGTATTGATCCGTTTCCGTTTTTCGTCATTCATTTCCTCTGAATTTCATTACTGATTTTTCCAAATTTGATTCAAATCGGCAGCGAAATCCCTTTCCTCGAAACCGAAATTCATCCGAAAGCCATCCTACGAAGCACCGAAAATCACCGCCTATCAACCTCCGATTTCCAGGTACTACATCGCTTTATTATTCTCAGTTTCATTCTGAATCGAGTTCTTCTGTATTAGGGTTTGAATCTTGTTATTACAATTAGACAGAAACGAGTTTTCGGAACTGTTCGAAGCTCAAACATACCGATCAAGCCAGTAAATGAAAAGCCCTTAGCTAAGCCCTTAATTGGAGCTATTAAGAAACAACCTAAATCCACCCGATTACCTCAAATCGCGGTCAATGTTACTGCTGATCAGAAGATTAATGAAAAATTGAATCCGAGGCCGAAGAAAAAGAGCCCTAGCATCAAACAGCAAGTTACGGAAACGGGCCTTAAGGATCTGCGTGTTCAGAACGACGTCGTAGAGCCTCATACGCCGGTGATGAGACCTCGTTTCTTGAAGTCGAAGAACGCCGGCACCCCTTACCATACGGCGGAAAAATGTAGTAACTGCCGTTTTGACAAGAT